ATCTCTTTATTACGTTTTTATAATCTGAAGAACCTTCTTTCGCCCCAAAGAACCTTTTGTGAAACAGAAAGGTTCTTCAGATGTTAAAGGTTCTTTATGGAACCATTTAGACAAAAAGGTTCTTCTATGGCATCGTGAAGCACCTTTATTTTTAAGAGTGTATGACAGACGTTTCAGACTGTGAGATGACATCGCGCACATTAACTGAGAGAAAGGTTCATGGATTGAAGAAGAGTGTTTGTTTTTACAGCTCTGTGACACAACCCGTCAAAAGGCTTATATAAACGCCACAGAATAAGCCTTAAAAGTTCTCAGAGGTGCAACTGCGCGTTCATATACAGTATATGTTTTCGATGCAGAGTGCAAATGGCTGTGCATTTATTTGTGTTTTTAACTCGATGGGAGCGAAATGAAACTGCCTGAACACGAAGCTGTGTGTGTTGTCTTTCTCCCCTCTTCCCCTCCGCTCGAGAAGGGTCTGGCTGCAGCCTCGCACTTGCACTCTCAGACTTGCACTCTCAGACACTTGCGCTTCCACTAGCGACGCCCCTTGCAGGCTTTATTTTTTATTTTGTTCTATTTTTTATTACTTTTTGTTTGAATCTCTCAACGTTTTACAACAGTAGCCAGGTGGCGAAGACAAGAAAAAAGAAAGTAAATTACGAAGTCACTTGCAATCGCCACTTGCACTCTCCGCTACCTGCGACGTCACTTGCAATCGACACAAATCGTGCGTGTTGCCAATGGAGACAAGACGCTGTGGTGGTGATTAAACGATTTAAACTAATTTAGTACCGTAACCTACAGGGTCCTGCAAGAAAAAGACAAGACCCGCAAATCCGTGGCCACAGAACTGCAGAATATGAATGCAATGCACAAAGTTTCTCGTTAAGCGTTTTCCTCCTGTAAAAAAACATAAACACTTAACATGGCTTAATGTATTAAGATGCTATTAAAATATCAAATTAAATATACAATTTATTAATATAATGAATATGTATATAGTATTTTCCTCCCATACCACAAAACGTACGTGGAATAATGTGGCATAATGGACTAAAAAGGCCAAACTCAATATGCTCCTCTACATTATTAATATACATA